AAGCAGCCTTTTTAATTATTAACTGTTTGAGAGTCAGAATTTCAGATGTTCTTTTGGATTTTTCACATGCAAGATTGTATTTACTCAAATTTTACTTTTGAACTGATAGAATATAATAAACCTGGAACTATGTGAGCATCGATTCATTAGCTATTATCAACCAGCACCTTAAATTGCAGCCTGCCATTCATTCATGGAATTAGAAGATTGGTTTATCACCAAAATATGTAGCGCAGTGATGGTGATATCACTCGATGGCATGGGATCAGAATAGGTGGACAAGTGGCAGATGGAATTTAATTCAGAGAAGCATGGGGTGATGTATTTTGATAGTCAATATCACAGTTAAACAGACCATGAGAGTGGATGTGACAGAAAAACTTGGGAGTTTATATTGAATGAGTAGTTAGCAAATCATATGGGATTTTGGGCTTCATAAGTAAAAGAATTGATGCAAGAACCGGACCTTCTGCTGAACCATCATGAAGTTCTATTTAGCAAAAATGAAACATGGCATCTGAGAGTCAAGGTTCCCTTGATAGCACCTTCTAAACCCACAACTTCTACTGCCTTTAAGGACAAAGGCAGCAAATGCATCCGAACCTGTTCTTTTCCAATCATATGCTACCCTGACTTGGAACTATATTGCTGTTCCTTCGCTGTCAGTGGATCAAAACACAAACTGTCTCTCTTAGCAGTACATATATTGCTACACTTAAAGGATTGGATTGGTTCAAGAAGATGACTCACCATAATTTTACCGAGCAATGAGGGACTGTCAAAAAAATTGATTTTTGTCATTGATACCCACATTCTAGGAATCAACTTTAAAGAAGTCCTGGCTTCTTGGGTAGCACGTGAGGGCACTTGAACATAAGAAATAGGAGCAGGAGTAGGTCTCAAGCTTGCCTAAAATTCAACAAAATTATGACTGTCTGGCTCAGGGCAGAACTTCTCTTTCATGCTAACTCCTCATAGCCCTCAACTCTGATATTTCAAAAATCTACTTCCTCTTGAAATACTTGCAATGATCTAGCCTCAACAATATCAGGGGTGGCAAATTCCTGACCTTCACCTCTCTTGCAAAAGAAATTCCGCTGCATCTCACTTTTACTTAAGTGTCCCCTTATTCTGTAACTATGCCCCCAGTTGGTGATTTCCGCATTAGTGGAAATATTGTCTCAACAGCTATCCTCTCTGAATCTTGTATGTTTCAATAAGGTGACCCCTCATACTTCTAAACTCTAATGAATAAAGGCCTTGCTGTTCATCCCAGGTATCAGCCTCGTGAATCTCTTTTGAACTGCATCCAATGCCAGTCTAGCCTTTCTTAATTGGATCAAAACAATGCAGTTCTCCAGGTGCAGCTTAACCAATACCCTGTACCATTGTAACAAGACTTCCTGTTTTTAAATTCCAATCCCTGAACAATAAACTCAAACTCAATCCAAGCCAAAATTCAATTTGACTTCTTAATTTCTTAATGTACCGGCATCCTAACCTTTTGAGTTTCATGCACAACACCCAGATCCCTCTGTGCTGCACTCTTTTGGAGTCTTGCTCCGTTTAAATAATGTTCTGCCATTTGATTGTTCCTTGAGAGTGTGCAGGGATCATTAACCAGAATGGTTCCAGGGACTTGAAGCAAAGGTGATTGGTTGGGAAGAGATTTGATAGAGGTGTACAAGATTAAGACACATCTTTAAATTAAAGATAATCAAAGAAAAGCTGTTCCAATTTGCTGATTGTATAAGGACTATTGGACACCAGTATAAAAACTCACAGTAAAATCTTTTAGAAATAAATAAAAAAGGGCCATCAGCCCTTTGGAGGGTGAGACCTTGGAATTAATAATGGGGAAAGAGGTCAACAACAGAGGCTTTGAATAAATATTCAGTATTTTCTTTACAGTAGAGTGCACAAAAAGCATTCCAAAAGTAGTAGAAAAACAGGGAGCAAAAGTCGTCGTCATCATTAGATGAAAGATGCTCAGAAGTCTAGTGATATCAAAGGGTTACAAGTACTCTGGACCAGATGTCTTGCAACCTAGAACGTTAAAGGACAATTAATCTCTGGGATGTTTAATTATTGTTTGTACTCCTAATAGATTGTAATCATTATTGATTTATGAGTGAATAGCATTAACATTTGTACATTAGGCTTCAGTTAGAAAGGTCTGGAGTTATTTTTAAGTTTTGACACATTTTGAAGAAATCTTTCAATTTTGCAGATGTTGTGTTTGAACCTGGATGTATAAACCTTTTTCTCCTGAAGAAGGGAAATAATTTAGTGTTTAAAAAAGGTTACCTCAGTGTAAGATGTTTACTTTGAAAGCTCCAGAACTAAAGTGTTTAATTAAAACCCTGCAGGAGTTATTGAAGCTCAGTTGTGCATAGTTCTGAGGAAAAGACAGTCCAATTCTTACAACTAGGAATTGAAGCGTCAATTATGTTAAATTATGACAAAAAAGGGAATTCGCTCTGTCTGGGAGATGCAAAGGGGTGCTGTTGAGATTAATATGCTTATATTTTACCATCTGATTCAAGATCTTTAAACTTTTTGTATGTAAATAGTTTGGTTTATACTATTTTATCTTTTTATTTGCAGAATAAATTCTATTTTATTGTCAACACCAAATTCATAGCATTGCTTGTCGTTTGGTGAAAGACTACTTCATTAATTTTTTAAAAAAATGATGTATCAAGCCAGATTTTAGTCTGGGATCTGACTTGTCAAATAATAACATCAGCTGGGTTTGTAACACCACCAATGCAGAGCAGTTAAAGCAATGATGAGTGCAGGTTGTCATACCTGGAACAGTACAAGGCACATTTCAAAATGAGATGTCAACCTTATGAAGCTCTAACACCCAACAATTTGTATGCTAACCAGAATGATCAGAAAATGCTGCTTAACTCTGTAGTCCTGCCACATCCAGTCGTGACTGATGGTGGAAATTAAGCAGCTCACTGGAGGTGGAGACTCCGACAAATATCCCTATCCTCAATGATGAGGGAGTCCATCACACCGGTGAAAAACATAGGACTGAGGCATTTGCAACAGTCTTCAGCCAGAAGTGCTGACAGGATAACGTATCTCGGGTGGATCTTTGAATATTTTGAAGGCTGAGTCAGAGATTTTTGATTGACAAGGGAGTTATGGGGTAAGGGAGAAAAGTGAGTCAAGTCCAATTAACCATGATAGAGCCATTGAGATATACAGAATGGAAACAGAACTTCTGGTCCAACTCATCCATGCCCAACCAGATATCCTATATAATCTAGTCCAATTTGCGAGCACTTGGCCCATGTCCCTCTAAACCCTTCCTATTCATATACCCATCCAGATGCCTTTTAAATGTTGTAACTGTACCAGCCTCCGCCACTTCCTCTGGGAGCTCATTCAATACACACACCACCCTCTCTACATGAAAAAGTTGCCCCTTAGGTTCCTTTTATATCTTACCCTTCTCACCTTAAACCTGTGCCCTCTAGATTTGGACTCCCCCACCCCAGGTAAAAGACCTTATCTATTTACCATATCCATGCCCCTCATGATTTTATAAACCTCTGTAAAGTTACCCCTAAGCTCCAATGCACCAGGGAAAATAGCCTCAGCCTATTCAGCCTCTCCCTATAGCTCAAACCCTCTGACCCTGGCAACATCTTCCTAAATCTTTTCTGAACCCTTTGTAGTTTCACAACATCCTTCCTATTAGGAGGGAGACTAGAATTGCATGCAATACTCAAAGTGGCCAAACCTATATCCTGTATAGCAACAGCATAACTTCCCAACTCCCATATTCCATGCATTGACCAATAAAGACAAGCATACCAGATGCCTTCTTCACTATCCTGTCTACATGTGGCATCCACTTTCAAGGAACTATGAGCCTGCAATCCAAGGTCTCTTTGTTCAGCAACACTTCCCAGGACCTTACCGTAAAGTGTATAAGCCCTGCCCTGATTTGCTTTTCCAAAAGGCAGCACCTCACATTTATCTAAATTTAAACTCCACCCACCACTCCTCAGCCCATTGGCACATCTGATCAAGATCCTGTTGTATTCTATCGTAACATTCTTTGCTGTCCACAACACCACCAATTTTGGTGTCATGTGCAAACTTACTAACCATACCTCATGTGTTCACATCCAAATCATATATATGAATGACGACAAGCAGTAGACCCAGCACTGATCCTTGTGGCACACTGCTGGTCTCAGGCCTCCAGTCTGCAAGGCAGCCCTCCATCACCACCCTGTTTTCTGTCTTATTAAATGATAGAATTGGCTTGATGGGCCAAATTCCAGTTCCTGCATCTCACAGTTTCTCATGGTCTCACAAGATTTCAAGTTTTGAACAAGAGATTCAGGAGGAATGAGACAATAAATTTGTTATACGGCATTGGCAATGACCTGGATCTCATTGCTTATGATGGTGGTGGGAGCAGCAATATCAACAATTTCAAGAGGAAATTGGATAGGTACATGAAGGAAATAAACTTAAAAGGCTGTGGGAATAGAGCAGGGCAATAGAACTAACTGAATTGCTTCTCGGAGAGTCAGCATGGACTTGATGGACCAAATAACTTCCCTGTGAAGTATAACTACCCTCCCTAATGTCGTTGTTTGTCTACCTACAGCATACGGACTGCAGCAGTTCAAGAAGGCAGCTCATCACTCCCTCCTTGAAGGCAGTTAGGAATGGGCACTAAATGTTAGCCTAGTTATCAACACCCAGGTCCCACGAGTGAATAAAAATAAAGCTCCAGTACTAAATCTGTAGTACATACAATAGCATTTCAAATTTACACAGGTATTAAGATGAAGCCATGATGTTCTTGAACACTTTTCACTTCACTTTTGAATATAGTAATAGCACTTTTTTTTGTTGTGAGTGAATGAGTTCCATATGTTGTTTAAATTAAGAAAACTACCACATTTATTTTTGTAGCATTCTAGGATTTGAAGATACCACTACTTATTTTGCTTTTTTCTCAGTTCTATCTACAGGACACTAAGAGTAGTAATGGTACGTTTATCAACAGTCAGCGTTTAAGTCGAGGATCAGAAGAAAGCCCGCCATGTGAGCTCCTATCAGGGGACATCATTCAGTTTGGTGTAGATGTGACTGAGAACACCAGGAAAGGTAAGGGTACGAAGCCAACTTTTTTATTTTTCCCTTATCCCAAAATATTAACTTGAAAAATACAGATATCCAATTTGACTGTTTTGTACTGCTGTCTTGTCTGTTGACTTATAAATGTTTATGTATGTTTGTCTGGTGCTGTGAATGGTGCAACTCACCCTGACACCATAAGTGCTAGATTTGTTTTTATTGTTGAAAACATATGTTGTTCCTGATTTATTACTTATGGATAGTTTTGTGTGTTTTTTTTTTTCCAAAGAGTTTTCTTAAAGACTTGATTTGAAAAAAAGTGAGTTTCTGCTGATATGTTAAATCAAGTGGCCTATTAAAATTGAATTCAGTAATATGATACACATTGGTATACTGGATGGTTATCTGACTTTATTTTTAAGAATATATAATTTTGTTGTTCAGGAATGTTTATAAAAAAAATTAAGGCTTCCATTTCTATCACTTGACTCTTTCTTTCTTTTTGATTTTTTTTTCTAATCAGAAGGTCAACATATCTATTGTACCACAATTGATTGGAACTCCATAAGTTTCCTGAATCTGAATCATAGGATTTCGACTAAGTCAGTCAACTGCGAGATATATTATTGCTGTTGTATTTTATCTGACTGTATGATAGCTTGTAGAGGAGACTAAATACCCTCAGAAAAGCTAGTGCCCAGAAATAGCTCCCAATTTGGTAATTGTTTGTTGACCGTAAGCAGCTGTCGGGCCACTTTTTGGTAGAGATTCTTGAGTTTTTAGTGATTCTTCAACAATTCTTTGGAGACTACAAAGACCAAATCAAAAAATAAGAGTTGAACACAAATATGCCATAGCTGACTGTAAATCTGATCAGAAAATCTGATTTTTCATTTTTATTCATTTGTAAAAGTGGACATCGCTGACTTGGCTAGCATTTATTGTGTAGACTTGCTCGCTGAACCAGTGTGTTTGATTGCAGATGTTTCGTCACCCTGCTAGGTAACATCATCAGTGCGCCTCCGGTGAAGTGTTGGTGTCCTGTCCCACTTGTTATTTATATGCTGGGGTGGTTGACATCACTTCCGGTTCTGTTTTCAGTTGTTTGTATGTCGGGTCTGGTTTAACGTGTTTGTTGATGGAGTTCTGGTTGTAATGACAGGCCTCCAGGAATTCCCTGGCATGCCTCTGTTTGCCTTGTGCTATTATGGATGTGTTGTCCCAGTCAAACTCATGTCCTTCTTTGCTAATGTGTATTGAGACCAGTGAGAACTGGTTGTCTCTTGGTGGCTAGTTGGTGTTCATGTATCTTTATTGTCAGTTTTCTTCTAGTTTGGCCTGTGTAATATTTCTCAGTCTTTGCATGGTATTTTGTATCTCCTGGAGGCCTGGCATTCCAACCAGAATTCTATCAACAAACACATTGAACTGGATCCTATATACAAACCACTGAAAAACAGAACCGGAAATGATGCCAACCATTCCAGCGAACTGAAGCATATAAATAACAAGCGGGACAGAACACCCAATGCTTCACCGGAGGCACACTGACCACGTTACGTAGCAGGGTGACAAAACGTCTGCAGACAAACACACAGGCTCAGCAAGTCCACAACCTCATCTGTAATCCAAGCCACAAATCTTCTCAAAAACTTTAGCATTTATTGTCTATCCATCATTGCCCTGCAGTCAGTGAAGTGTCAACCACATTACTGTGGGATCTGACATCACATGTAGGCCAGAATGTAGGGATCTCAGATTTCCTTCCGTAAAGGACATGTGAGCCAGATGTATTGGTGAAGATTGACAAATTAACAGCAGCTTGTAATTTGATAGTGCCTTGAATGTCTTTGGGCTTTCCACTGACACCTAACTGAATATATAGCGCTGGTTTGGAATTCTGGATTTACCCCTCCAAATTAGTCTGATACAATCAAACAATTTTATATATGTTACCTTCTGAAAGGCAGGAAAAACCTTTGCCTGGATTTGGCTGGAAGATGTTTACTCACATCTTGCATTGCCATTATCTCTTGCCACAACTGATGACCATTTTCCACAAACAAGATACAGGACAAATAGGGTACAAGACAATCAGTTCTCTACTTTACTTTATAAGACTCCGGAAATAGTATTGATCATTTTATTCAACTGATAACGTGAAGGGTTGGATTTTCTGAGGAGTAGCAATCACCATCAGGATGCTGTCTTGCTTGTATATTTTTAAGTTAAGAAAGAGTTCTGCATTTGTGAGAGAAGATTCAGATCAGGACTTCTTTAGAAATGCAGAATGTAATTTGAATCTGACAGATGCTTTAAAGAATAGAATGATCAGGAGGAAATCAAACACGGTTGCTATCACCTGTGATTTAAAGGTCCAGTATCACTACTTTAACAGCTCATGGGAAAGGGTAAGTACATAAGGTGTGAGTTTAGGATACCAGCTGAGTCCAGTGGCGAGGGAGTGGGCTGTGTCAAGTCCCAAGGGGAGGGTGTATTGTCAGGTCAGGCTCCAGAGTGTAAGTGGTAAGTTGGAAGGTCAATTTTATAATGAACTAGGTTTTTAATTGCCTGATGTTTCCTACGTAACTATTTATTTAACTGCAGCAGACCCCTCCAAATTCTTGAATTTAAATGGATACTTTTGGAGACTTCTAGGCGCAGTGTAATTTCCCATTTATTGTCTTCAGTTTCCCGGGAAATTCCCTCAGTTTGCCACCCAAGGAATTCCACAGGGTCCTGATATATCTGGACATTGGAGAATCTGGGGCACGATTTATGGGCTTTAATACAAAATGCAGAGTTCAGAGCACCTTGCATCTTTATTCTGTAAATTAGGGAGATCTGCATTTTGCAATGTTATGTCATCATTTCCACACTTAAGCACTTATTATTATTGAAAGTATAGTAAGAATTGCGTGATAGCTGTTACAAATTATAAGCTTTGATAATAAATTTATATATAACATGATCACAATTTGCTGCCATAATTTTTCAATAAGCCATTTATTTATCTAATCAGACAAAAATGATAGGGTGTTAGAAAGCATCACCAAACAAATGATTTTCCAGGAGGATTTTTGAGAATCATGGAGAGGTTTAGGAAGGAAATTCCAGAGTATGGTTTTGAGTAGCTGATATTGCAGTCTTTGTTCCGAGGGGATTGGAGTCATTTCAAAAGAAGGGGAGAATATGTATATGGTCAGTCTCAAAGGAATACTGAATTTATGGGGATTGTTTATGGCTGTAGAAAATTGCAGTGTGAAGGAATGAGGCCACTAAGACATTTAAACACAGGTGTGATTTTGAAAATGGAGTCTTTGGATTTTTGTGAAGCACTGTTTTTCGCTGGTCATAAATGAATGAAAGGAAAAAGGCTTATGAATGTGTATGTAGAAACTGTCATTCCTCACTTTCATTAAGTCTGTACAGCTCATTTGTTTAGCACAGCCCTTTAGAACGACTCTTTCCAGTACTTTTTTTGTCAATTATATGATCGCCTATCTTCTTGCTTTATGTAATTCTACACGGGCAAAGATTTTATCAAGGAGATGCTATCAAAATTAAATAATGTAGCATAAAATTTATTTTGAGCTGTATTAGGTTGTTGTGATATCACTGGAGAATGTAGTTACATAATCACAGTAGATATAGATATACATAATTTACTGCTTAGTTGGGTGGCTGATGTAGAATCTGAAAACCATGTTAAATCAACATGAATGCGGAATTTCTGTCTGTATAATACAATGCCTCCCCATAAAGACTGCCACATTTATTTAAGTCAGAACAGCAAAGGTATACTTTAGCCAGACCAAAGATTTAGAGTAAGTATGCACAAAAATTAATTCATGGGATGCGTTTGTCACTGGCTCGGCCAGTATTTATTGTCCATTCTTAATTGGCCAGAGGGGCGGACAAAGTCCGGTGAAGGAACAGTGCTCTGAAAGCTTGTGATTTTAAATAAACCTGTTGGACTATAACCTGGTGTCGTGTGACTTCTGACTTGTCCACTCCAGCCCAACACCAGTACCTCTACATCATAGCCAGAGGGGTGTGACGAGCCAATCACATTGCTGTGGATCTGGAATCATGTGTCAGCCAGGCTAGTCAATGGCAGCAGATTCCCTTTCCTAAAGAGCATGAGTGAACGAGATGAATTTTTCTGACAATTGACAATGCTTTCACAGTCATCATTAGACACTTAATTCCAGACTTTTATTGAATTCAAATTCCGCCATCTGTCATTGTGGGATTCTGGGGACCTGGGTTTGAATATTAAATGTGGATTACTATTCTAGCGATAATACCCCTCAGCCATTGCTTTCCTTTGTATAATGTGTTAAACTGAGGCCCTCCAGCCTAGCAAGTGAACCTAGAAGACCCCATGGCAGCAAATGGAATGAGAAGTGGGATTTCCGGGGGTTTCTGAGACAATATTTATCCTACAATCAATTGGATAATCAGGCCAATTATGTATTGCTAATTGGTTGCTGCATGTCCTGCATCACACAATTGACTGCATTTTGAAAGTAGTTCGTTGGCTTTGATGTGCTTTGGGACATCCTGAGGTCTTGGGAGCATTGTATAAATGTATTCATTCATTCTTTTCCTAATACTTATTTAAGTAACTAAGCTGCCTGCTTCCTGTGCTAAGGGCATTGGCTCAAAGTGTTATCTGGAGCTAAATATGAAGAATTGCCACAATTAGCAGTAAAGCAATTTCTTCACCTCCTGCAATAACATGATTGATCGATCAATTAATCAGTCCTGACCTGAAATTTTAAAGATCTGCCCGATGCAGAACGTTTTACAGTCAATCATAAATTAACTTAATTCTGAACTTCTGTCACCAGACTTGTCAACTTGGAGCCATTTTGATAACCGAGAGATCCTGTTTATCTCTATTCTTCCACTAACCTCGAAGTCATTTGTGCAGATGTAGGACAAAGTATTCGGAAGTATATTTCATAAATGACATCCTAAAAGTACCAACCTTTGTTCCAGTGGTTTAAGCACAAGCTGAAGGC